GGTGGCAGAAAATACACAGCCCCACAGCCTTGCCTGGAATGCACATTGCCTAGCACATTAACTTTATAGCAAGCTAACAGTTCAGCACTGGAACAAAAACAAATCCCTAATGTACCAGGGAAATATCATAGACATTTTCTTTTCAGAGGGAGAACAAACGTGAGGGTTTGGTTTTGTTCCATCACCTCTCCCCACCCCCAGCCAAAAGAACACTGATGTCTAAGCAGAAAATAGTTCATGGTGCCAACTTTGTTTGACATCTAAAATAGCTCTGTCATGACTGTCTGGTGGGAGAAACATATTGTTCCAACATTTCTGATTATTGCTTTAGGGAGTGATTTCACACCAGCCTCTTTCAAGGCTGCTGTCCGACTTCAGAGCCAGCCATGAATTGAACTAACACACTGCCAGGGCAGCATTGCTAGGCTAGTTAATAGGGGAGTTCAGATCTATTCAGCTGAGCGGGGCATCAAGTGCAGAGTCTAGACTCATATGAGGGCTGAAGACACGTAGTTCAAGAATGAATAATTATTCCAATGGTGGTGGCCTGACTTTTTCCCATAATAGAGGTTGGCTTGTGGTAAGGTAGAACCATTACTATGATGAAAACAATCACTCTTAGTCAAAAGTCATATAGAATGGCAAAGCAGTACAAAGGCTGGAGATTACATGCTACAGCCAGACCATCAGAGTGGGGTACAGCTTCCTGCTGCAGAGGTGAATGGGTTTTTCTACCCCAGCTTAAGAGAGTGTGTGTGTGTGTAGATACACACACTGGGTTAATGACAATGAGGCAATGGATTACTTGCTGATTACCTATTCTATTCATTCCTTCTGGGGTACTTGGTATTGGCCACTATTGGAAGACAGGATCTTGGGTTAGAAGGACCTTTGGTCTGACCCAGTATAGCACTTCTGATGCTCTTAGGTGCAGAAGTCAGCAAATGCAGACAATGAGGTTCATGTAATGATGGTTATTCACAGTGCACATATGTGGTTTTCCCTTCTGCTATGTATATCCATGTAGCTCCCATGGAAATCAATTAGATTTGTATATATCTAAGACCAAATTGGGCACTTTGTATATGAAGGTATGGTTTTATAAGTGCAACTAGCAATCCAAAAAGCCTCATATATATATGTTACAGTAAGAACTGTTACTTTGGAATTTGTTGATTAGATGTTTAGTCATGTAATTGTGTCCATAAGGTGGCATTATTATGCGCTTTTGTATTTAGTGTGACTTGATTACTGAAAAAGAGAAAATAAAACAGGAAAAGAGTGATTTTAATACTGACTGGGATGTAGATTGCCTTGTGCATACCCCCAAAATTTTAGCAGCTATGGGGTTCCTCTGACTTGCAGACTGGCATTGTGCAGTGTGTAAGGAACCAAACTATGGTACTGCTGGCTTCTGACCCCTTGGGGCTGCTGGCCCAGCTGGGCTGGAGCAATCCCCCACCCATGGCATGGTGTGGTGGACCCGGCCTGGTCAGAACAGCCCCTACCTGCAGTGCACTTTGTGCTGGGCCAGGCACCTGCTAACCGGTTACCATTTACGTCCCTAATATAGGACCCTCAGGATCTTGTCTCTTTAAAAAAAAAATCTCAACCCTCCTGAAATGAATTACTGGTTAACTACTATTAATATGCCATAGACCTGAAGAACTGTGTACAACACTGAAAGATCAATAATAGTATTTATCATAAGCTATATTGATCTTCCATGAAAGAGTGGGTCATATTTCATACCACATACTTCGGTGCACAAAAGTAGCCGAAACACTGTCTAAGGCTGAGTAAACAGGTAGAAGTGAGCTTAGTGATCAAGGGCAGTGCTAGAATGGGAAGTGATAACATCATGTTGCCAAGGGCACCAGATGGGAGGGAGAGTGAGGACAGTGCCCTATGGCAAGCTCAAATCAGAGACCTGTCTGGGAGAGGATGTGGGTAGTGCTGTATAGGGCACAGTGACCTGTGGGGGAAGGAAGCAGAGGGCACCATATCACATGCTTGCATCAGTAACTAGTGGAAGGTGGGGGGCATGGACAGCACCTTATGGTGTGGCCATTGGTGGGCAGGAATAGAGGGATGGTGCTGTACGGTGTGCCAGAATCAGTGACTGGCGTGGGGGCCGTAAGGCAAGTCTGCGCCAGTGGCCCGAAGGCTGAATTTTTCCAACCCTTCCCCTTTCCTTCTACTTGTGCATTTGTAGGTTGCAGCATTTGCTTGGTGTTGACCCCAGTGTTCTTGGCCACATTTCTGCTACAGTTGCACAAATTACTACCTTAAGAAGGCTGGTAGAAGATTACACCTATGCAGCATCTGAACTCCCAGAATCCTTTGTTGGCTTAGGGCTAGATTGGCCCTGGCACTAAACGCATGCACAGAATTGGGGGGAGGGTGCGAGGAGCCCCTCCTGGTTCCCAAGTGCAGACAGTGTAAGGCCTAGTATCTACCGCAAATCTGATTTTCCAAAGAGTGCAAGGAGGGGTGGAGGTGAGAGCACGAGGCAGCTGGTTAAAAGAGGTTGCATCACTTGTCCTCTTTGGAGTGTCATGCCGGATATTAACCTCCCCCCTTGTGCGGGGATCACTTCGTTCGCCACAGAAATGCAGCCCCCTCGGGAGTGGGAAGCCAATCTGCCCGCAGCACTGTACAACGGCGGAGGGTTTTATTTGCAGGAAAGGGATAGATAAAAATAGCGTATTCAATGAATACAATAGAGTCAATCTAGGCCATCTGTCTTTAGCAGAACATAACCTGTCCAGCTCAGCCCAGTGAGGCTGACAACTCTATTTCAATAAATTCCGTGCCTGGGTTTTTTAAAAACTACGAGTGGGCAAGGGCTTGGTTTTATGTCTGGTATACGCCACAGTTCCTAACCCATCCTGCACTTCCAGCACTATGCTGGAACTCAAAGGAATGCACTAACTAGTGAGTAGCCACCATCAGCACCTCTGCCAGTACCTAGCTTTGCCCTGAGGCTCTTCCATTAAGGGAGCATCTCATCCTGACCCTAGTTAGTTTAAGAGCTGGTAGCAATGTGGACCAATTAAATGTCTAAAAGTCTCCCCACCAAACATAAAATCCTCTCCTTTTAAAGTACAGTAGCCAGCTGTGCTTCAGGAGATCAGATTAGTCAGGGAAAGAAGAGAAAGAAAATAGAGGGAGAAAATGTGGTTAAGTATTTTCAAGGTAGAGAGCCTGATTCTGGTCCCTAGTCTTGCCCCTGTGCGCCCTTTAGGGGCACAGGATTCTGAGAGAGAATTCCCTGAGTCCATGAGCAGCATAGGAGCATGTGTCTTCTTGCAGCCACCCACATCTGGTCTAAGGCAGGAGCAGGAAGATGTGTGTTGTCTGAACTCTCACAAGTGTGGTCCAGATCAGAGTAACCCTGGAAACTGCTCCAGCTTTCGCCAAAGGTCTTTTTGGGCCTCAGCAATAGCCTAGAATCCAGGTGGGTGCAAAGATGCCATGAAGTTAGGTCTTCTGTGTTGTGTCTCTGAGACTTGCAGCCCTAAATCTAGCCAAGAATGCTCCAGGGAAAGTCAATGACCATGAGTAGCTACAAAGAAAAGCACTTTTAAATTGAGGGTTTAGGAGTTAGCTGGAGCCTGTGTTAGTTCTCAGCTGCTCTTTGCGTGATGTTGCCATTTCCTGCCTCTTTTGGAATAGAACATAGTAGCACCATGAGACCTCCTTGAAACTTCACTCTTCTGACTTGTCTCACATGGCAAGAGCAGCTGGATCTTCTCCAAAGCCCACTGCACTCCCTAGGAGTTTGATCCAGATAGTTAGCCCCTGGTGGGCCGCTGCTACTATATTTACCTGCACCTCCATAGGTCTGGATGATCACAGCTTCCATTGGCTGGCATCAGCGATCCACGGCCAACAGGAGCTGCGATCCCCCATACCTGAGGAGGTGCAGGTAAATACCGTGGTGTGAGGGTCTAACCATGGCAGACCAGATCCAGCCCGTGGGCAGGTATTTGTCCACGCCTGCTCTAAGCCTGTATGACTATGTGCCATAGTGGAGGCAATGCATAGGCACACGTGGATCAGACAGAGGTGTCGGCCACCTGTGAGCAATCCCCAACCCCTCAGAGGAGTCACAACTAGACCTGCCCTGGGTTAGTATATACGGAGTGGGGCTTGTACACTCACGCATTAGTAGCGGAGAATGAAGTTGGAACCTGACTCCCTTCTGTACACGAGGGGAAGGGAAGAGGATGGAGCTTTCTTTCTTCAGACAGTAGGGAAGGGATGGGGTGAAGGCAGCCTGCAAACTCAGGAGACAGGAGGGAGATTGTGGCTTCACAGGATTCCTGGCTGTGCTTTCAAAGTAACCCTCACCTCTGACTGCCGTGCCATGGAGACTGGTGGAAAGGGTTGCGGAATTAACAGAAAAACATGGCTGCATTTTTACTCTGTTTCTGGAGGGAAAGGGTTGAGGGAAAATAGGTTTAACCACCCCCAACAAATCAGGGTTTGGGTTGCCATGCTCAACCCACTGTGCCCTGGGTATCACAGCTTATGTGGCATGTGCGCCTCCCCCCCCATTATAATGCTGTATTTATTGAGTGCCCCAGCTGTCAGGTACAAAAGGGTGAATGAAGGGAACCGGTGTCAGCCTGAGGTTAGGCTTTTTCTGCTTGTAAGCGTTAATTCAGACATAACTTACAGCTGTGAGGCACATTTAAAATGTCAGGTGAGTTTACACCTCTTGAGGTTCTGGCCCAATCTCTTAACCTTCTAGTCGGTTTTGTCTCAGGGGAGCTAGTGAATGGGAGAGGTCTGAGCCTGGCCTCTGAATGAGCATCTGCCTGCCGATGCCCCAACAAACAGCAACCACTGCCTCTCTTCAGCTTTCCCCTTCCTATCTGTCACCCGTATCAAGGCAGCAGCTGGAGAAGCAGCTTTGTGAAAGGAGAAAGGTACCGTTCTCTGTGGACCTTCCTGTTTCATAACCAGCTGTGGTTTATTTTTATTTTTTTCAGAGGGACGGATGCTCATTCAGGACATTCCTTCCATCACCAGCAGAGGGCATCTGGAGAGCACATCTGACTTGGTTGTGGACTCCACCTACTACAGCAGTTTTTACCAGCCATCCCTGTATCCTTATTACAACAACCTTTACAACTACTCCCAGTACCAGATGGCAGTGGCCAGTGAATCCTCCTCTAGTGATATGGGGGGCACACTAGTAGGGTCCCCTGTGAAAAACAGCCTCCGAAGCCTCCCAGCTACATACATGTCAAGCCAGTCAGGAAACCAGTGGCAGGTACTGTGTGACAGGAATGATGTTGGGAGTCTGTGGGAAATGGGCTGGGATCCATGGTCCTGATCCTAATCTTATTTCCTCTGATGGAACTCCATTTGCTTCGGAGTAGTTGCTCCTGATGGGGTGTGCAACTAGATTCTAGATGTATGTTTGGGGGTGTTTAAAAAAAGATGTCTTGGGATCCGAAAACATTATAAAAGCCATGTGACTGACTGTCAAGGAAACTGAAAGGCGTTTCCGCTCTGTTTTTTCATTTCCCTTTTATAATTAAATATTAGTTCAGTAAGGGTTTTTTTCAGAAATAAAACTGTTATAATCAGTACATTTACCAACTGAGGGCTCAGGATGGCATTCTGGAGAGGCTGAGTTCTTTAGAATTCCTCTTCTTTTCTCTTTTATTATTTCCCTTCAAAGACTCTGTATAAAAGTGACCCCTCCTCTCAGCCTGCTAAAACAGTCCATGTCATTCTTTGATTGGCTGGCAAAGGTCAACCGAGCATGTCACAAAGCTGTTCTTCATGTGAGTGTTAACTCTGCCAGGAGGAAGGGAATTGGACTTGGGACTTGTACTTGGCTCCTCCATGTAACAGTTTGTGCTTGCTAGGCCGGCTCTGAGGCATCTTTTAAGCTGTGTGTACCTCTATTTTAGGCAGCAGTAAACCCAACTCCTACTAGCAGAGCTAATCCAGCAACAAATTTTAAATGCTGGCTTTTCTGCAGTTGACAGCTGTTGGATATAGAGGACAACAATTACACATAACATATAACTGGAATGTCTCAGAATATGGTCATCAAGCTAGATCCTCCACTGATCTGAATAGGTCCAGCTGTGTTCAGGACAGTGGAGCTAAACCAATTTATACCAGCTAAGGAGCTGACAAATCATCTTACTGGCCAGGAAGGACTGGCTGAGAATCTTTTTGAAATCTGGTCAGAAGTCAATGCTAAGAGATTTGAGGCATTAACTTTTCCCTGTTGCAGTCATAGCTATCCAAGACTCAAATGGATCAGGTTCTGTTGGTGAATGAGATATGTGTTCAAGCTACACACCTGTGTTCTATTTCATCAACAGAAGTTCCAATAAAAGATATTATACCTCCACCGGGTGCCTCTAATATCCTGGGACCAACACAGCTGCAACAAAGCTGCAAACATACTGTTATAAAATAGCCAGTAGCCATTCTGTAAATTTTCAACCCTAACCCTTTACAGCACATGGGGCAGTGACACTGATAGAGGCAATTAGGGAAAACAGTGTATGGCACTACAGTAACCTAAAAGTGCATGGAAATTAGATTCCCACTGCAATATGTGGTTGAGCATGGCATATGTGTGGTCGGTATTGCATATATTCAAGGAAAGCTCCTTGCAAACTAGTTCCAGTGTGGAAAGAATAGGACATTGCAGTGCACAGGAAGAGGAAGGTGAATGCAATTTCAGTGTCAATTGCAAGTAAAAGTTAAAGGAGTGTTTTAAAGTAATATCTGAAGAGAGACAATTACTAAGATTTTTATCTGCTCTTCAAAGGATTAGCTGGTTTTAATATTGTGGTAGAAACAAGTTAGAATGGTAGTTCCCCAGTGAGAGATGCAAGTTACATACTCACTGAACAGTACTTTTATCACTATGGCTTAACCCTGTTCCCCAAAAGGAATAAGCTATTTCAGCAAAAGGGTTTTCTGCAGTACAGCTGTGTTTACACTTGGACTTTGTGTACACTGCAGGTTTTTTGTTCAAGAAGCTTTTTGGTGGAAAAGAACTTCCGCAAAAACTTCTTTCGCAAAAGCGCGTCCACACCTCAAAAGCGAATCGCAAAAGCGATGTGCTTTTGCGCAAGAGAGTGTCCACACTGCATGGACGCTCTTGCGCAAGAAAGCTCTGATGGCCATTCACAGAATGGTCATCAGAGCACCTGTGCTTTTTCTGATAGGCTTTTTTTGCACAAGAAACCCCTGAGGAGCATCCATACATGCCTTTTTGCGCAAGAGCTGTAGTTCAAAAAGGAGTTATTCATCGTGCGGAGAGGAATAACTCTACTGGTCCTGTCGATTTACTGTATTTTTTGTGTGTGCAAAAACGCACTTGAAGTATTGACACTCTGCCAGTTTTTGCGCAAAAACCTTGTAGTGTAGGGCTTTTGCCAGCGCAACTACATCAGTTAGGGGTGATTTTTCCCACACTCCTTGTTACATAGTTGTGTCAGTGAAACTTCCCAAGGCCACGTCTACACAAAGATATTGTTGCACCATCATGATTTCCATTTGGAATATGGTTTTATTTCTTGTTGTCATAATACTAGTACAACTCCCAGTGTGGGCACAGTTACATGTGTGTATAGGTGTTGTAGCCATGGTCTGCATTTAAAACATTTGTGGGAATAACTGTGTTGGTTAGGGATGTGATTTTTTTTCTATCATAACTATGCTAGCAGATGTGTTAGTGTAGATTTGGTTAAAATAATAGTTCAGTCCCCTTGCTAGTAAAGCTTATTTCTCACAGGAAACTGGTATTTGCTTACCAGTAGAAGAGCTGATATAAGTGATTTTTTTTTTTGCTGAAATAAGTGTTGTCTCCACTCAGATGACTGATCAGGATAGCACTATTAGCAAACCTTTTAGGTATACAGAATGTCCCCTACTGGTATTACTTATGCCATGTCTTCACTCTGGAGAAGATCGATGCTTCCATGATCGATCTTCTAGAGTTTGATTTAGTGGGTCTAGTTAAGACCCTCTAAATTGAACTCAGAGGGAATGCCCATCAGCAGCCAGGACCCCTGCTACTGCAAGGAGTAAGGGAAGCCGATGAGAGTGTTTCATCCCGTCAGCCTCCCACGGTGGAGATGGCGGGGGGAACTCAAATTAAGGTATGTTGACTCCAGATATGTAATTAGTGTAGCTGGAATTGCATATCTTAATTCAACCTTCCCTTTGAGTGTAAATCTGCCCTTATTCCTCTTTCCATATGGGAAGAAGCGATACTCATATGAGCCCATTTATAAGTTCGAAGAACTATTTTGATGCTGGGAATGGGGGAATCGTTGAACTGCTTTAACTATACCAGGTTAGTTATAGCAGTACAATTTTTTGTGTGTAGACAAGGCTTTAGTAGCAGAGCTGTTTGGTGTTTGGGCTAGAAACATGAATTTATGGAGCAGGAGAAATGATTGGAGAGGTAACATGAGCGTGTGTGTGTGGACAATGAAGAAGATTAATGCATCATTTGGCATGTATTCCTGTGATGGGAAAGATTGGTCTTATGGTATTTCTCTGAACGTTTCATTTGTTTGTATATAATTTTTCAGCAACCTGTAACTATCACAATCCAATGAGCATAACAAAGATGGTAGTGTTTAAAAGAACAGCATGCACTACATTCTCTGATATGTTTTTGGTTACTTAAAGCCAGGTTTTCTTGCCCGTTTAAGGCAGATTTTCAAATAAGAGCTGATGTGGAGTGTTAAATATTTTTCAAGTAGCACATTGACCCAGTGTTGCTTGAGTCCTTTAGTACTAGGGGACTGGGTGTGTGTGATGGTGCAGGAGTGAAGGCAGGAGCTTGGGGATACGGAGGGCTCAGGACAGGAGCCTAAGGGTATGGTGGTGCAGAAGTCAAGGTTGGAGGTAAGGAGGGGCTCAGGGCATGGATTGATGGTGTAGGAGTGGGGCGGCGACTCTCCGGGGCTGGCCGGGCCAGCAGGGGCTATGTTGCCTGACTGGTGGTTTCCCGGGACTGGCTGATGGCTGGAGCAGTGGAGGCCGCACTGGCTGGTTGGCAGCTCTCTGGAGTGTTGGTGGCCAGGCGGTGGCTCTCTGGGGCTGGGTCGGGCCCACCAGCATAGGAAACTTATCCAGGTATGGTGGTTAGCAACATCCAAAGCCCTGCCCCCAGCCACCACTGTCTTATTCATGTGCATGCTCCCCCGTGATCATTCTGCAGTATAACTGTCCCTACTAGCAAACCCCTCCCTTTCCATTTGATGAGAAACAGTCATATTCCAGGCACATCCCAATATCCTGGCACAATCAAACCCTGACCTTGATTTAAGTTATGATAAGAAGAAGCTGCATCCCAAATTTGGAAATCTTAGTTCTGACCGTTTCGGAGAAGATCTTGAACAAACAGACTCATAGATAGACAGACAAATTCTCTCAAATATATAGTGGATAAATAAAAAGTGCTCACATGTTCATAAGAAAGGGAAAGTGGAAAACATAGGCTTAAAAGTTCTCTCTCTCACTCTCTCTCTCTTTTCGTCCTATTTCTGCCCCTAGCAATTGCACCGCTGTTCTCTGTAAGGCTACGTCTAGACTACAGGCTTCTTTTGGAAGAAGTTTTTTTCAGAAGAGATCTTCCGAAAAAACTTCTTCCGAAAGAGAGCGTTCACACTGCAAAAATGCATCGCAAAAGTGATCTGCTTTTTCAAAAGAGAGCATCCAGACTGAATGGACTGAATGGAGTTTATCAGCACTCTCGCATGTAAACTGCCATTGCTATGGATGGAATGGCCACCAGGGCACCTGTGTTTTTTCCTCTTTCCTCTTCTTTCAAAAGAACTCCCTCTTCCCCGATCACACACGGCTTTTTGCGAAAGAGATCTTTCGCAAAAAGACTTCTTCCTTGTAGAATGAGGATTACCAATGCCAGAAAAACCCTTCTGTTCTTTCAGTTTTTTTGCATAAGAACGCAATTGCAGTGTGAACGTTCCTCAAGTTTTGTCAGAAAAATGGCTGTTTTCCCAACCTCTGTAGTGTAGACATATCCTAACAGAAATGCATGTGCCTTCTGTCCAGTTAACAGTGAAATGACTTGAACAATATTGGCACTGCAAGTCTGCACACATTAATGAAGGTTGGTGAATTTCTGTCTCTGGGACCAATGCCTCTGGTTCCTGTTTAGGTGAATTTCTGTCTCTGGGACCAATGCCACTGGTTCCTGTTTAGATGGAGGTAAATGATAAATGTTGAGATGGCTTCTTGACTTCAGGAACAAAAATAAAG